CGAATTTGTGCAATCTGGAGATTTCAATTTGATGTTTTTTTAGATGACATTTTTTAAATATTATTACTTAAATTAATATAAAACATATACTTTGTAATGTAGGATTTCTTCAATTACAGCATATTTTTTGAATTAAGTCTTTTTTAATAAAAAGCCCTAGACTTACGAAATGCTTTAGGCTATACATTTTCACGCTATTAAACTCAGAGAGTTAATAAATCTCAAAAATAGCAGTACGAGAAAGAGACAAAAACTACAAGCCAATAGCAGCAAAGATTAAAAAATGCCATAATTAAATCAGCCAATAGCAAAGGCTGTTATCATTTGAGAATTTCAATATTGCAAATATGGCTTGTTAACGAAAAAAATGATGTTTTTTATAAATTTTCTGATATTTGCAACAATTTTTTTTATGGATTGTAAACGACAAATGAAGTTTTTTCAATGTTTTTGTATGTGTAAATACAGAGAAGTGGTAGATACCTCATGCTGGTGTCGAGCGCGGCGCGGCGCGCGGCGGCCCGCGGGCGCAGGCTGTGCAGCGCGGCGAGCAGCGCGCCGCTGTCCCGCTCGATGGCGGCGCCGTCGAAGTGCCCGCCCGACACCAGGTCCGCGCCCTGCGCCGCCAGCGCCGCCGCGCGCGCCTCCCACTGACACAGCTCCTGCTCCACCGCCTGCCATACACACCATTAATGTATCAATTCTATTTATTATTTATTTATTTATTTTCATGGAAGACCAACAGCTATTACAAGGTAGGTTGTTAAAGTGTACAGCCAATAACAGGTCTCCACTGATAGAAGTATTTTACAAAAATGTTAGTGCGCAGATAAAAAATACAAAAAAAAAAGAATACATCTAACACATCATCAATTTGCCCTTATCCCTTACGGAGGGTCGGCACAGTATGTGCTTCATACATCTCTATCAGCTATATCTGAAACCACTGCTTTCTTAAGCATATCTTTCACACAATCCATACTTTCTTCGGTCTTCCTCTTCCTTTGTAGCCATCCACATTCATTCTTAACACTTTCAGGTTTATGTCCCCATCATACTACGCTAACCTTTTTCTTCTCAATTTCCCCACCACTGGCGCTACTTTCAAATTTCCTCTAATATAATTCAAGATCTAAGACATCTATACTATTATAATAAAGCGTAAACACACACTTATTTGTTGCCTAAGATGTCAGCAATTACACCATATTTTTGAATAACTCTTTTTTTAATAAAAAGCCTTACACTTACGTCACGCTTTAGGCTATATATTTTCACGACATTAAACTTAGGGGGTAAATATTTTGGAAAAAACCCTAATGTAGGAAAGAAACCTTAAGTTGTTGCCAACATTAAGAAACCAAAATAGCTAAGGTTTGTCATGTCATGTCATTTAGACATTTGCAATTGATAATTTGTCAATTTTCATAATTTCAGGCGGATGAAGCCGCACGGGAACAGCTAGTAGCCGTCGTAAAATCAACTCGTGCTAACGACCAGTTCCTGGCATGTCAGTCAGCGCCAACTGGCTTTACAGAAAGAAATATACGTAATGAAGTGCGAGGGAGATAGTAACCTGATGTTGGTTGAGCAGCCGCTTGCAGCTCCTGAGGTCGGTGCCGATTTCTTCACTCTTCAATGCACGCTCCAAGTCTACCAGTCTTGCTTTAGCGTCTTCCACAGCTCTGTTCATAAATACACAATAAATAACCACATAATCTAGTAGAAATATTGCAATTACTAGCTGTCGCATGCGACTTTGTCCGCGTTAATTAAAACATAGCTTATGTTACTCACTGGTAACTTAGCTTTTTATGGTAAAAGAATTTTTGAAATTAATCCAGTAGTTTTTGAGTTATTTCAATACATACAAAAATAGTAATATTCCCTTTTCATGATATAAGCTGTTGCTCGTGATTCCGTCCGCGTGAATAAAAAAAAAAGTAAAAATGTAGCCTATGTTACTCACTGGCATATTGGCTCAGTAGTTTTTGAGTTATTTCAATACATACAAATAATTCCTCTTTATAACATTAGTTAAAGTGTTACCTTCTGTGCTGGCGCTGCTGCGCCGCCTGCCGCAGCTTGCTGCCCTTGTCTCTGGAAGCAGCCACCAGCTCCTCCCACGCGGTCTGCAGCTCCCGCAGCCGCTCCGACACCTCCTCAGCACGCGCCGGGTCCGACTTCTGCAGCGACTGACCGATCTGTAACGAATAACCTTGAAAAATGGTCCTCTTCAAGCAGGATATTAGTAAAGTAAATGTACTTACACTTTCTACATTTCTGAGCTGTTTCTCGTTGGCTTGTAACTCTCGCTCGAAGGCTTCGTGCTTTTGTAGCTTACGTTCCAAGTTCGCCAGGTCTCTGGAAACATTAGTTTCATCGTAAGTCATCATTTTACTCCTTATCCAACTCCTGTAGAGCAACAGCTTTTTGTCCTCCAAATAACTATCATACGTCATCTCTGTCACTCCCTTTTTGATTGTCACCTTTCACGCAATCCATCCATCTCTTTCTCATTCTCCTTCTCCTTGTTACATGATTCATCCCTCCTCATAACATGCCCCGATGCTAACCTTTTACTCCTTATCTTCTCTACTACTGGGGCTACTCTCAGACTTCTAAGTAAGTATTTAATCAATATAGATAACACCATAAAAAAATCATTTTGATACCTGTAGCTTTGGTCCTTAGCAGTTCTTGTCTTGTCTAATATCCAAGTTTGTAGCTCATCTGCAGCGGCCACAAACTAAAAAACAATTACAAAGGTATATAATATAAATACTTTACGACTATAGTTCATATGTCTGTCTTCTTACCTGTTGATGTGCGAGACTAGCGAGCAGAGCGCGGCGTCGCTCGGCCGCAGCCTGTCGCACGTTGTCACGTCGCTGCACCACGGCAGCCCTACGTGCGGCAATACTAACACACAGACAAATTAATGCCATTCTTAGTGGTAGTGTCCGCTTTAACATGTTAGCACTGCAGGGCTCGCCCCCAGTAATACCACGTCCACAGACAGGCGTGAAATGGAAGCAATTCCGTGTACAGTCTGATGAGTGTGGTGCCGTAGGCCTAATTTAA